TTGAGGTTTTGAATGAGGGGCCTTGGAACGGATCCACATTGTATTCATTACTGAATATCTATATGGTTCACCAACTTCCTCTTTTTGTTGCTCGGATTCGAGAGATGGCCTTTCAATACAATAGACCTTAGGGTAAGACAGACGCAACACTCATCCCGATGGATGCAAGACAGCAGATGATGTGGGAGGTGTGTTTCCCAAGGAAGAGAATACAAGAAAAAGAGATCAGTAACTTTTACTTCGCCCAAGCAATGCGCTCCGAAGGGCATTGCTTTGGGTGCAATCCATATCTCTTCCCTTGCTTTGCCTGCCTGCTGCTTTGCTCCCCCTTCGAATGAATTGGGTCCGCTGCCCCTCCAATAGAAGCTGAAGATGCGGGCTTAGAGCTTTCACCCCGCTTTCCCTACTTCAATGGAAAGGGGGGAATCGCCCATCTAATAGCCGTTTCTTCGGTAACGGTCTTTCCAAGCAAGATGCACTTCTTACCGGCTTTCATCTTAATTAAGTACCAGATAGAAGAAACTATTAGTAAGGAGTTCACAGATGCTTTTTTCTCATCGTGTAGCCGAATAATTCGAATACCGCTGCATCCTTCTATTCCTTAAAAAAGATGATCTACTAGTTCACTGGCTCGATGGAGGTGAATTGGATCGGGTGAAAGTGGTTATCAGAAATCGATATCCTTTATTGGGATTGAGGAAAGAAGTGGGATGATTAGGCCGAAGTGGTTGGTGAAGTCGTAATTTCTTTCTTGCTTCCGTCGTGAAGTTTGACTTCGCGCAGCAAGCGGCACGGAGTGATTTTTGCTTCACCCTCGCAGCACCATTCCCTGTTGATTCCGGTCCAACCTTGCCTCGGCAAATACAGCTATACCCGACCCTTCTTAGTCTGGTTGAAAGCCTCACTCCCTCCCTCGATGGGTCCAACCTTCTCTATCAACTTGGTCCGGTAGAGGATCATGCTAGGGTTAGATGATCCTCCCATCCCTGTTTCCGGATTTTGATCCGCTACTCCATCCACATTTGCCGATGGATGTGCATGACGCTCCTCCGTAATATCTTCTTATACCCTGCAAGCACCTACTTCTATCAAAATGAAAAGAAATACTAAACAAGCGAGAAAAGCCCTTTCTATCTTATTAGTAAAACGCGCTAGCTGCAATCTTTCCAAAGCAAGAAGTGAGAAAGTTTACTTTGAGAAAGAAGGTGCTTGTTGCCGCTTTATTAGTAAGGTTGCTTGTTTTATATCTCCTCAATAAAGGCGAAAGGTTGCTTTACTAATAAGATAAGGCGCGTAAGCACTTTAGTTTGATTGTTGGGGCTTATACAGGCCTTAACTTAATAGGATTAGTGTCTACCCTACCTTTCTCTACTGTATAAAGAGGGAAGTTGAGCTGCTTCCACATGTAAACTCGTCCCACGCCACCCCAGTAGTGCTATAAGTATTCCTTAGTGGCAGTGTCATATATTTATTGATATGGATTCTCTTTAGCCCCTTTCTAATGTAAATTATGATCTTAAGATTCTTATCTTCACTTTATTGACCCCCTTTTTAGACTTAGACTTAGATGTCTTGTTTAAGATTAGATAGCCATCCTTACAACTTTATATCCCGAAATCTTGATAGCTTTTTCTATTGCTTTCAGGCCTTTTTCATTATCCATTATCGTGACTATAATCTTTCTTTTCATCGGGATCTTGATCTTCTTAGATTATAGTTATACTCTTAGTACTATTGTTGGCTTAGAGCCTTCTTATGGGTCGGCTCCTCGCCCTATAATTCTAAGAAGTATAATAACCAGAAAACCGCTAGGCCATACGAACTTTATAGTGAAAGGGGGAAAGGACGGCCCTCGGGAGACATGGCCCCACAACGTCTGTGTTAGCCCTCGGCTTAAAGTCAAGGGGTCCTCGTCCTTATCAGGGTTAGTCAAGGTCCAAACCTTTCTCTAAACGCAGATCCAAAGGTAACCGAGGGAACGAGGTTTGTAGAAAAATGAGCGGTCTAGGAAGGAAGGAAGTCGGATGTGAGAGAAAGTCTTACGATCCAACTATTTGTGGTACCCCTAAGATCCTTGGCGCAGAGGAGTCTTCATCTTGGCATCCATCGCAACTCCCCATGCTGGTAAGTTGCTGGTCGCTCTGATCACTCATCGGTTCCAACATGCGCATATCAAAATGAGTCTTGAGGTCTTGGAAGATATGCTTGGGTAGAAAGACTGGGCCAAGGAGTAGCATGTATAAGAGCCGAAATAGGAGTAGAGGAAGGCGCACCAGATGTTGTTTTGGTTTCCATAGTGGGACTATCACCGGTAAGTTGCGTCGGACCAGTTGCGGGTCGACCCGGTGGCGCATCGACGTCTTGAGCGACTGAGAGCCTTGATCCAACCCCAGGTGCAGTTGCAATCCGCAGAAGTAGCTTCAATCGAAGGTCATGCAACCGCCAATAAAGACACTGCTCTAAAACTCCTTAGAGGTTTGAGAGGGGAAGAAGATTCATCACCAGGCTGGAAATATCCGAGATATAAGAGCAGAAGAGGACAAGTGGAAGGTAGCCAACTGCAAGACATAAAGGCCTTTCAGCAGACAGTCAAGCAGAAGTCTTGGAGGGGATTTTGGGACTGCATACTGACTTTTTTTAATTTGAATAGAAGAGACCTCCGGAGCCAAGAATAGGAATTTGTTTTGGCCGACAACAGGTTCGGGCTAATGGGCCTCTTTAGATTCATTTCCGCAGTCAAGTGATTTGACCGATTGATTCGAAATCGGTTCCACTTCATTCAAATCCCTTGCAGAAGAGTTTTCACCAAAGCCAGTTGCCGCATTCCGGGCCCAGCTACTAAGGTAAGGGGCAAAGGATCCACTTGATGAAAATAACCATCCGATAGATAATCCCACCCGGCCTAGCTATCGTAATGTGTCCCGATGCCAAAGCTTCCTGAACCTATTGAAGCGAGGAATACTAGGATCAGAGCACTAGCATCCCTTGCTCTCTATCGATTGCTCACTGCCGTCTCAGCCAAACAAAAAAAGGAATAGAACCAAGGGCACACTTTCCATTTGTTCCCGTCCCAATGTGACCATCGATAGCTTTCTCTATTGAAATGGAATCCACAGTCCTATCTTTCTCAATTCGTCGATCGACAGCTGCCTTACTTCTAATGATAGATAGAAAAGGTGGGAGAGGGGCTGAGAGACGGCAAATATACAAAAACAAAAACTACATGGCATACGAACGTCAAATGGTAGGGCCTATTACGAACAGTCATTAAGGTGATCCCCAATCTCGCTCGGCTTGGGGTGATCACTTGAACAAGGAGGGATTGATCGATCTACATCAAGAATTTCAGCTTCCCTTCCAAGGAGCGCATCTACAGAATAAAAAGAGCATGCACCACACTCCTACTATACCAGGGCCTTTAGCTTTCACTGGGAAAAAGAGATGACTTCCAGCTAGCTTTTTTCCCTAAACCTAACCAATGAATGATAGGCCGGCTTAGGATAATAGAAAACGAATTCACTTTCAGTAATCGGAGGCAGGTCAGGGGCCGCCGGGCACGCCCAACTTCTTCAGTTTGCGAATGGGGCTGGATCAATGCTATGAGCTTCCGGAATCCAATGGAATCTTCGTAAAGTCGATCATTACGAGTATTATGATTCATTCGATTGGCAGGTCCAATCGATTCATACCCTCTCAAGCACAACTCATATTCATGCAAGGATTGGTGATTGAGGATCCATACAGAATTTATGAAATATCTTAGAGATCAAAGAACAGTTGCTTTCTTCAAGAGAGATGAATACTATATGGTAGCGATAGGGAATTCTTTGGCGTTGAATCGGGTCAGGAAAAACAAGTTGTTCCAGCTCCGGGGAACAGATTCATCTTCAAAGCATTTTTCTCTTCCTTCAAATATTTTGGATTTTAGCTTCCCCAATTCCTTTTATTGAGCATAATGATGCGAATCAGGTTTGTTGTTTTTAGTATGCAGCGTCAAGCAGTTCCGCTTTCCCCTACCGATGATGTGCCGAGAAGTGCATTGTTGGAACTGGGTTGGAACGCTTTTAAGACCATAAGCTCTAGATTCGGGGGTTTCCGCTATAGCCGAACACAAGGGAAAGCTCATTCTTTTTACCGAAAAAGATCATTTTATCAGGTAATGGAGACACTATAAGCATTCCTTTGGTTATGTATAAGCCTTCCAACAGAAAGACTTGTATGCATCAAAAACCTCAGGTTCATAGGGGTAAATGCATTCAAAAGGGACAAATTTTAGCGGCTCATATTTCAAATAAACATCACAGCATGGAAAACTCATTTTTTTGGGGGGTTGTCCCCACTGGTTTGCGAAAGCAATGGGAGACTTGCTCCATAGAACTCCCCAGAGACTTTCGTCCCTAGTATTCTCTATGGGCAAATGTGCTCAGGTGCGCTTAAAGTCTTATTGCCTAGATGTTATCTTAAGACGAGGTCACTACCCCGCCTGCTTTAGTCTCAAATAGGGCACAAATTGAGGTGAACACACTGGACTGAACCCCCCTAGGTCAAGAGCTTTTGGCTCTTCACAAGAGTGCACCAGGTCATAACACCGGAAGACTGCGCCGTAATTCTTAAAATGATCTAATTTATTTGTACGGTTAGTCACCAGTGGCACAACCGGAGGACTAAGTAGCACCTCAATGGGAGTATTGAGATCCTCCGCAATAGTGTAATACCAAGACCAGTAAGAGAGAATGGACTTCATCCATTCGGACAAAACCCATGCCTCTACTAACCAGTCGTACTCTGACCAGGCTTCGAATAACTCCGAGATCACTGAGTCTCTCGAGAATCGAGGGGTCAAAAGCCTAATCAAATACCCCCTCACTATACCTTGTTGATAACAGGTTAAGTGTTTACCAGTGGTTACGCTTAACCAAATCCAAAAAGGGAGAGAACGCACACCGTTCAGTGAGGATGAGGAAATGCCGATGCCAGTGTTTCCCAGGAGGCGCCGTGCGTCAAGTATACACCCGGTACCCAGCTTCTCGTAAACGATACGATAATGGAAGATCCGTAGACATAATAGCCCTCATTACAGAAACAAGGGATATGGAACTAACTAAGGATCTTAACATGCGACAGGAGACGGGACTCAAGTTCTTAGTCACCCCACGTACGAAGAACCGCTTAGCAAACTCCAAAGCACCAACTGACGATACTAATGATTTCTCTAACGAAAATGGAACATTCAGTTGCGACATTAGCTCGTGATAACGCTCAGCCACCCGCTCATCTCCGATGACGATATCGCCACCGAGGATAGCGTAGCGTGTAAAAGGAACTCCTAGATATACTTGGGCTGCTACGAACCAAATCACCAATGGTGAGTCAATGCAAAAGCAGGCCAAGCTCCGTAAAAGCCCAACGAGGCTCCTGTTACAAAACGAACTCTACCTCGAGGAAGCCGACGACGAGAATTTCTAATCGTCGGCAAATTGTAGTAGTAGTAGTATAGTAGGCAGACTTTCACAATGGTCCTGTCCACGAGCAAATCAATGTTCGGCAACGGAAAATCCTCTTTGGGAACATGCTTTATTGAGATTTAAAAAATTGATGCATACGCGAGCACGTCCATCCCTCTTGGGCACGGGGACGATGTTCGAAGTCCAATCAGAATAATCTACTGCCTTAATGAAATCAGTATAAGAGTAACAAGACAGCTGAAGAGAGGATGACGTAGGCAAGAATCAACCTCTTCCCAAATGTATCGCAGAATTCGAAAAGCAGCTTCTAAGTGAGATGATCTCGGCTTGTCCATAAAAATCGGCGGATCACTCCCCCCAATGTTGTAAGCGTAAGCAATGTCTGGGCGAGGATTAGTAAGGTAGAAAAGCTCCTAACAAGTCTCCTGTACGTAGATAGGTCATCCAATAGCTCTCCTGCATCTGAGGCTAATTTTAGATCTTGTTCTGGTTTGCATGCCGAAAGACCAGCTTTTGACAATAAATCCATTGAATACTTGCACTGGGTTCCAAACCTCTTTGCGACCTCATCACTTCAATCCCCAGAAACGACTTTGAGTCCCCTAAATCTTTCATATCAAACTGGGTTCTTAATGTTCTCGTAAGCTCATTTATCGAAGCTAAGTCATTACTAGAGAAAGCAATGTCATCCACATAAACCAGAAGAAGAACAATACTTGATGTCAACTTCCTTATAAACATTGAATGATCCAATTGACTTCTTTGAAAACCGGCTCCTTCCTATACTCCTATTTCGGCTCTTATACATGCTGCTGCACCTTTCAAACCACGCTCTTGGTGCCTGCTTTAGCTTGTCGGAGGCCGTAACGTAAATCGCTTTCTTGAGCTTGCATACCAAGTTAGGATTCCTAGGAGAAAAGAAGCCTGGAATTGGAGGAGGCTGAATAAAAACTTATTCTTGCGGATCTCTCCTTCCCTTATGTTGTTGAATTATTCTTGCGGATCTCTCCTTCCCTTATGTTGTTGAAAGGCATTCTTCACGTCAAGTCGAAATAAGGGCAACTTTTTGATTGCAACCAAGGCAAGAATGCCACGAATGGTGGTCATTTTAGCAACTTGGGGCAAATGTTTCCCCTATCTCTAAATGGGTTCGACTCAATATTCTTGAAGGAATCCTTTAGCTACTAATCTAGCTTTGTATCTCTCTATCGAGCTATCTGCTTTATGCTGGATCTTGTAAATCCACTTGCAGCCAATGGCTTGTTTCCCTGCAGGCAATGAGACTAAGTCTTATTCTTTTTTTTCCTGGGCATTGATTTCTTCCTGTATAGCATCTCTCCAGCAAGAATGATTGAAGGCTTCAGCAAATGATTCAAGTTCATGAGAAGATTGAATTGACATGAGGTAAGCTCGATGTTTTGGGGAAAACGATTCATAAGATAAGATAAAAATCCTTCAACGGGATAAGAAACTTGAGAGAATCGACGAACCTGAGAGAGGGATCCAGAATCTGAGGAAGTGACTGGGCTAGACTGTTGATCTTCTGGAGTAGTCTTACCCTGGGAAACAGACTGTAATCGCCACCGAGAATAAACATGCTGTGCCGGGTGACTGGAATCCTCTGAGGTCAGCTGAACAGTCTGACAATCAGCAAAAGATGCTGAGCAAAGCTGCTGGCCTAAAGAGTGAGGCTGATCCGTAACATCAACTGCAAAAGAATGAGGTTCGAGTTGATAAACAGGAGAAGGTCGCAATACATCTCTATCCCCATTCTCCCCCAGGGCTTCTTAATTAGGTTAAGGAAAATATGAGGCGACCCCATTAAAGAAAACATTCAAAGATACATCGAGTCTCTTGGATTTCACGTCATAGCATCTATACCCGGACTGAGCATATCCAAGAAAGACAGAAGTGGTTACCTTGGGGACAATTTTTCTCTTAACTGCGCAGGAATATGAACAAAACACGTGCATCCAAACACTCGCGCCTATAGTACTGCCCCAGTAAGAAGTTCGTGAGGTGCCGCTACAGCTTCTTCCCTCTCTCTTCCCCCCCAAAAAAAGGAGAGATGTCCCGTCCCTTCTTTATGCACATCCATATACATAGCCAGACACAAAGGTGTACAATCCAGTCAAAATCTGTGGTTCTTTAAGTTCATTCACTATAGGTTCTCTTACTTGCTGTAGAGGCTGGCAAAGGCCAACCAAGAGGGGAGAACAAATGGCTCAGGAATAGACCGGTTCCGAGTAGACTCGTGGAGTTGCAGCTTGGATTATCATAGAATAAGAGGAGCCATCTTAGGAAATGACTTAACTTAAAAGACAGATGTCGCCGCTGCGAGGCGAGGGAGCAACTTGTCTAGTCTTGCGGTGCACTCATTCCCGTTATGAGAATGAAATGACGCCCCAGCTCGACTCGAGACCAAGACTCCTTACAACTCACACCAATAGCGGCACTGAGCAGCCGGAGATTGAAAAGGCAACCCAGCCGCCCCTCCCCTTCTAGCCGCCTACCTACTCGTGCTCGTAGCTCAATCGGAGGTCAAGACTATGGTCCGGCAGAAAAACAAAAGTCGTCCGTATCAAGTGATATGTGAATTGCTCAGTAGTGCTTCGCCACTACCGTAGCTGGCGGAAATAGCTTAATGGTAGAGCATAGCCTTGCCAATGCTGAGATTGAGGGTTCAAGTCCCTCCTTTCGCTCCTGGCTTCATCGTTTAGTGGTAACGAGTGGAGTGCATAAGCCCTTGACGAGAGAGGGGCGAGCAGCAACCCTTGTATAGGGTTCCAAACCTATCTTACTAATAATAAGAAAGGGGCAAGCCAAAATCTACTCCTAACAAGTGGCTGGCTTTTCATCAGTCGTTGCGCGCTAACACGTTTCTGTTTTTCAGCAGGCTTCTTCAAATATCCCATAAATAAGAAAGTAGGGGCTATAACTATAAGTAGCTAGCTAGTGCGCTAGCGTGCTAGCGTTTTCCCTTACTAGTAAACGGGCTGCTAGTTGTAGCGCGCAGTGTCCTAGTGAATAGGAAAAGCGAATTGAGATTACTAATGACGGATGAAGGTTGAGGATAGAACATGTTCGGTGCCTCGCCCTTGTCTCCTTTGCCGGAGACTGCAAATGATGGGAATCCTATCGATAAAGAAGAGGCATAGACTCCCCATTTCTTTGTCTTATTAGCGCAGGTGTTCGTCAATGATGAAAGCCGCTGAACTTAAGACTCGAGTTGAGAAAGAGGGCTAGGCCACCGGCTTTCAAGGACTGGAGAAGACGGGTGGATTATAAAGCTAGGGGCAAATCGAAGGTTTGTCCATTGGGATTGAGCATGGACGAGCCTCGACTGGGCTAGCATTGATGAAAAAATGACAAAATAAAAACTTCGCCCATCGCATCATTAACCAGTGTAGGATTAAAGATCAGGTCTAGGATTCGAGTCAAATCGACCTTCCCTCTCATCTCAGGGTGAGGCAAGGAATTCAATCAGATGTTCATTGTTCAATATCTCGGTTGCTCAAGAAGTTGGACTAGCTGCTCCTCCAACCCAAAGTGGATTCTAGGGGAAGGACAGAACCTCACTTTGCAGTAGGAAGGTGTTCGTTGCTGGACCAGGTTTAAACTGGACTGAAGGGAGGAGGAATTTTATACTCCAACCTTCATGGGGATTCACCACTGGCTAGGGCTTTCGAATCAAAGCATGGCCATCTGCAACTAAGAGGGAGCAGTAGATCGTCGATTGAAGAGCCAGGTCAGTAAACTTTTATTGGGACTTCTATTGATTATTGATTCTACTAGAGGGACTCCTAGCAGCAAACTTGTATGAAGGGGCCCCCCATAAAGACGTAAGAGATGCAGGAGCCGCCGGCCGGATCGACCAACAAATGATAGGCCAGAGAGATGGGCTCATTCAACTAATCAGTGATCCCTGGGCCTACCTAACACAGATGTCCCAAAAATAGGGGATTGGTTGATCGGAAAGCTCAGGCAGAAGTAGGACATTCCATACAAATCTTTCTGATCCGCTAGTTGGTGGTCCTCTCAAATCCCATTTTTTCATCGACAGGTAGGGTGAATTCTAAGGTTCCTTATTCCGGTTGTAAAGCAGAAGAAGAGGGAGAATGGGCACAGCCCCACCAGCAGCCCGCGTTTCCGATCCGAAAGGAATTGAAAATGAAAAAAGAATCTGTGTGCTCTATCTATGGAGTGGACTGACTATCCTTAATCTCCTCTTCCCTATCTCCCCCATTTTTGCCTTTTTTTCTTTCTCGCCGACAGGAGAATCCATTTCTTTTCTTGTATGTTTATTATGATTGATCTGCAGTTCAAGGGCACTCTTCTTAATCCGAGTTTGAGATGGGATAAGACCCAGACGTAGGTAGAGTCCCGTCAGCCGGGAAGGGATTTTTTCTATTGATTTTTTTTTACTCCCTTCTGGCTTTACCTTTAAATAAGGGGTTCTTCTCTTTCCCCCTGAGGCCCTTTCCAGATGGAGTAGTGCATCTCTGTCTTGAAAGCCCGCCCTAAAGATAGGAGTTCCTATCTCTACTGCCTATCCAACCCGAAGACTCTTATTCATGGTGGAGTGCTTCGAGTAGGATCCGATCCCATCCCAGCAGTCAAACTCCTTCCTGACCCGGCTCACCTGCCTCTGAAGCTGGAATGCCTTTCTAGAGGAGGCTACCCGAGGAATCGAAAAGTTTGAAGTGGGATGTGGAATGTGATTGGTGATGGATGGTGGTTATGAAATCGGTTTGGGATCATCTCGCATCTAGTTCTGCTGTTGAGGCGGGAAAGAACAAGAGATGGGCTTTGTTTCATTGAAAAATCAATGCCTCTCTATGACCGACACTCGTTTTAGGCGGCGTCTTAAACTCTGGGACCACACTCTGAATGTCGGTCTCAAGTTCCTTGGCTAGGCAACTACTAATCCTTCTTCTCTTCTTTCTCGCCCTTATTCCATAAAAGTATTTTTTGCCTTCGGCTATTACCGGCTGGCAACGCTTGGCTCAACATTGGATTTGTTTGAAAACAACCAAGGGTGGCATTCATTCAATCAAATCTTTTATGCCAGCCCAAACTAATTACTATCTTTGGAAAGGAAGGAATGCAGGGAATAACTCTTTCCTTTCCACTAGTTCTTGAAAGCTATCAATCCTTGCTTCTCCCATATTTATTCTCCCTCTCGCATCGGTTCTGCATCAAATGATGAGCCCATGCGAAAACGTTTTCTTTTATTGGCGTTCGATAGGTAGACTATTAGATTAAGTCGAAAGCCTACCAACGCATAAAGGTTCCGATTCGAGCGAAAGCCCAAATGGGGGAGGCGAGAACATCTTGATCGAAAGCTCCACTGTTCTGAATAGTGAGAAAGACTTTTCAAAATTCGATCAAATCGATCGAGAATCTCATCATCTGTTAGGTGGGCCAACCAACCGACTGAGTTGGGCCCGACGTCCATGTCACAGAACCTTTCTCTAGCCCATTATTGATCGAATCGGTGCGGATCCAATTCATTGGCAAATGAAAAATCTACCGTTTTAACACTCAGAAAAAAACCTAGAAAATAGGAAGAGTCACTAAGACAAGAGCTAAGTAAGCAAGCAAGAAGAAGAGGCTAGAAAAGGCAAGGCAAGGGGCTCTCCATCTGACGGAAGATTGTGTCCAGGATCTAGTAATCTAAACCCTTGCTTCTTCTGGTCGGCTCGTATTAGCCTGTGCTTTATTACAGGTAGTAATTCCCT